TTTTTTTTTTTTTTTTTTTTTTTTTTGGTACCGGGGATTGAACGTACCAGTACCTTGCACTTGCAAGGCAGGCCACCAAACCACTGAGCTAAATCCCCAACCCTTGTTTTTATAATTTTTAAAACAATACAAATACGATATAATTTGGTTAAAACTATTTTAGCATCAATAGAATTAATGAAAATTATATCAAGCATAAAATTTTGATAAATTTTATTCCAGAAAAGCACTATAGTAAGTAAATCATAAAATTTTGAATCTTCTCAAATGCATGACAATACTCTTCTGTATTTTTTGAATTGGGGAATTCATGGAAAAGAGCATAGTAATACTCATAAGAATCCGTTTTCTTTTCCTGTCCCTCTGCTGCTCCCTTTTCCTCTACTCAATTTTCTCCCTACTCAATACTCATACACTGAATCAAGACAATAAATAAAAGGAAAATGAAGTATTCTGACCTTTACAGTTCTCTACAAGAGGTACAGGAATTTTAGGAACAATACAGTTAGAGGGAACCTCAATGCCAGCCTTTATGGGAACCACATCATTTCTCCCAGTTCAGGCCAAGACAGTAAGCAAATATCTTAGTGCTTAAAATCTTCAAAGCCACAAGAGAGGACTGAAAATGTAACAAACTAAAAGTTAATTTAAATAATAAAACATCATTACGTTCAGAATTAAAGTACCAGAATGGACATTAAAGGTGGCAAAAATAATAGAGAACACACACATAAAACATACACTTTCTTTACAAACCAATGAAATATCTCATTCTACAATATTTTTGAACTGGTTTTCCATCTATTTCATCACATTCTGTTTCTTTACCTCTATTTGGGTGAAAAATCCCATAATAAACAGTAAGAAAAATAATTCCAAAGAGAAGAGAAAGAATTATAGTGACACTGATAGGTAAAAAGTAGTCTGCATTAAAAATAGAAAATGGGTAAACCCAGAAAACAATCAATGTTCCTAATGTGGTCAATACCCTTACAAAATAATAACAAAACATTGGACATCTGGTATTCTGTCCCTTAATATTAAAAAATGTAAAGGTCAGAATAAATCCAACAATAATCCTATATAAAAATTCCATACTTTTGGAATTACAAAATTGGGTTTGCTTTTTAAATGCCCATATTAAGCCTATCAACCAAAGAAAAAACAACAGAAATAAAGCTATCTTAACATTTATGAACAATAAAAGTACAATACTCAGCATCCAAGATAATAATGTATGCAACTTGTAAAAGAGATATGTAACTTTGGAACAGGATCCATTTAGGAGATTTTTTTCAGGCAAGGATTTTCTTAAAGCTATTTGAAAATCAACAGTTGACCAAGAAATAGCACAGCAAGAAATCATGATGGCTGCATCTGCAAAACAAAAATAAAAGATATTGTTATAGGAATAGTAAACGCAAAATTAAATTATTTTATACTACATACATTTTATCTGTGAACTCACCCTCTCACAAACACACACTAGGCACCTTTTCATCTCATCTTTGTCATTTCCTAACCATAACCATTTTTTTCATTTTATGAAGTCAATTTCGATTCACCAAGAAATTTACTACTTTCTTTGCTTTTTACTCCTTCTTTTACCTCAGGACACTTCTGTTCTGTCTAAAGTACATACTTTGGAATTTCATTTAATGTTGTTAGGTTGTGGTATAGCTTTCTTTCTATTTTGGGGTGCTTATGAAATAATTCCCTCTTGAATCTGTGGATAAGAGTCTCCATGGTTCTGAAATTTTTTCACCATTAACTTTTCAAATATTGCCTCTGCTCCATTCTTGTTTCCTTTGGGGACTCTGCTCAGATACAACAGTCCTTCTCATCTTCTTTGTCTCTTAATATCTATTTCATATTTCCATATTCAATCCAAATAATTTCTTACCCAGTACTGATTCACTGTATATTTAATTGTGTCTAATCTGCTGAGTTTTTAATTTCAATTCTTAGATCTTTTTAATTCCCATAAATTCCACTTCTTTTTCAAAAATAAAATCATCATTATAGTTTCCTGTCCCATATTTTCCACATTATTTATTTCTTTAAACAAAAAGGATACTTGTTTTATACTTAATATCTGCTAATTTCTAAAACCTGAAGTCTTTTCTATTTCTGCTGACTCTTACTCATGAGACTTTCTTTTAGTGATACAAACTTTTTAACAATTCATTCTGCTTTGAAACCTATTCACAAAATTGTTTAGACATAAGAGAAGGGGAATTTCTTCAGGGAAAATTTATTCTTGTCTCTTCCTGATACCAATGGGCACTAACACTCTAGGACAATGATGGTGAATCTTTTAGATCTTTCAGTGATAACAAACAGCCAGCTGCAGCACACATGCAAAGATTCATTTCCACTGGTCTAAGACTATTTTAAACATATCACAGCTTGGCTGTTACTTCTGGGGTTATTTTAGTTCCTTCAGCTAGCCAACTGATGTGAATTTTGGTTGCAAATCTTATTGTTAAAATTTCTCAGGGATATTTTTTCCTGCTGTATCAAGCCTTGAGGCAATATTCCTTGCAGTGCAATCTCTTGAAAACAGAAACTGAGCTTTTATGGCTTGTATCTAGATTCATACCACCACCACCATCAAAGACTCATGAAGTCATAGATGGAGCTTCGGAGGTGGCTGGATCTAGGAGTTATGATGCTAGGATTACATTTGTGTGATTACTAAATCCACTGATTTGTTTACCATAATTCTGGGTATGGATCCTGGGTTTGGGTGGCACCACTGAAAAGTGAGTAGCCTAAAAGGGATAAAAGGGAGGAGCAGACTGCTTCTGCTGCTCTTGCTGCTTGTTGCTTCCTGCTTGCCATACCATGAACTGTTTCACCTCTGTCATGACCCTTTGCCATTACACCCTGCCTTGGCACCACTAACAATGGTCTAAAATCTCTACACATTGCAAGCTGAAATAAAACTTTCCCCTTTTAACTTTCGGTATCAGGTGTTTTTTTTTTTGTTTTGTTTTGTTTTGTTTTTTTGAGATAGGGTCTTATTATGTAGTGCAGGCTGGCCTCAAACTCACAGCAATCCTTCTGCCCCCACCCCCATCCCAAGTTCTGGGATTACAAGCATGTACCGCCATTCCAGGCCCATGAGTATTGGGTGTTTTGTCTCAGCAATGAGAAAAAAATACCTAAGACATTCTCTTATTCTAATAAGGAGGGCTTTTACAGTCTCAGGTTTATAGATCAGAGGTTACTACCAGAGAGATATCACTCATTATGAGGACCCTCAATTTTGCTTTCTGTCTCCAATACTATGAAAACTGAATTCCATATTTGTAAGTTTCAGTAGAAGCCCTCAGAGTATATATCTTCAGAGTCTTACTTAACTATGCAGCATTCTCACTTTCATACATATCTTGGTCTGTTATATCAGATATTTTACATTTTAGGAAGACTTCTTAAAATATTTTATCCATTAGCATTAAATATTTTCAGGGGAAATCTTGATGAAAATAATTAGCCTTTCCATGGAAGGGTTAATTCAAATAAATTGCTCTCTATCTGCTTTCCATCATATAAACACTTACAGATATTACTAAGTATGCAAGTTTTTGCCTTTCAATTGATCTTTATTTTATCTTCCTTTTAGTGTGATTTCAGAAGGAACTGAGATAAAATGTTCAATATTCTGAAGGACTTCTATACATAACCTGATTTATTTTTATATTCTGAATAAGTTTTTATGGACTATCAGATAGTACATTATTTAATGAAGAAAATCTGGATGCCTAAAACAGCATAAAGATGAAAAAATATTTAAAATGTCACTACCTAGAAAGCAGCCATATTTAACATTTTGTATTATTTTCTTCTAGACATGTTTCATTATAGTAATTTCTCTGTAGTTTTAAAAGTATGTTGATAGAAAATTTTGCAAACTAACCACTTTTTGCCTAAATTTTGTAATTGCTTTTCATGTCATTAAAACTTCTTTATAAACACTTTTTCTAATGACTACATAATGTTTCATTCTACCAGTCTACAAAAATACATTTATCAATTCCTCTGTTGTTAAACAACTGAGTCATTTCTCACTTCTTGCTATTTTTAACTAATTTGCCTCATGTTTGAGGAAAAAAATTATAAGAATGGGGACAGAACTATCACATAGAGATGCATAAGATTATTCATCCCAGCATTTAATAGTAAAATATTAGAAACAGCCTAAATTAACATAGACCACTTATTAAATAAATTATAGTATATCTATAATTTGTAATACTCTGCAGAAAAATAAAATGAAGGAATAATTTCTGTAATGATATAGCTAGTTCTCCAAGATACACTGTTACATGCAAAATGTTTTAATCTTTGTTACTAATTGTATTAAAGATAAAAGGATATATGCTTTTTTAGTTTTCTGAAAGGATCATAAAATAACTGATAGTCATAGTTTCCTTTCTGAGCAGAGGAAGAAAGGAAGTGAAAGAAAAGAAGAAGAAATAATATATCTTTTGTTTTGTGCATGAAGACTTTTATTATTACTGCATATTGATTACATAAAGTAATGGATTTCAGAAAGTACATTTGATATCTGAACCATGTTACCAAGTTTTCCTTTCAAAAAGTAGTTCTTTTTTCAAAGAATTGAAAAATTCTAAAGCCTAAGAATTGAGATGTGTTATGCACATGTGCAAATTCCCACAGTAAATATAATCATTATGGACTGTAAATATGTATGTTTTAGTTACTTTTCTCTCGTTGCTGGGACAAAATATCCAACACCCAAAGTTAACAGAGGAAAGGTTTATTTAGCTCAGCTTGTAGCGATTTCAATACATAATCAGCTGGCTCCAAAGCAGGGTAGCATGGCAGACAAGCATCACAAAGGAGAAACAATTCCTGGTGGGCAAAAGGTAGCAAAGCAAGCAAGAGACCTTGGCAAATTTTCTTCTTTCCCTTTCATAGTCTAACTAGGCTACTGGGATTAAGGCAGTGCCAAACCAATCAGTGGACTGATTTACTAATCACACACCCTTAATCACACACTCTAGATTCATCCATGTCTGAAAAAGTCCCACGAATTACATGAGGCTTGAGGAGGACATCTAGACACAAATTATAACAATGCACTAATAAAAATTTAAATTGTTTAAATATAAAATTTTTTAAAATTCTAAAACCCACCTGACAGTTATAAAATTGACATATGGCATCCATCTAACAAAGAGTATAAAGACTTACACTGATTAAAATTTGCTTGACCATGCTCCAAAAAGATGTAGAGCTGAATAATAAGTTGTGGGCAGCCTTCCAAGTAAGTCTCGAAGAGTCTGAGCATGCTCAAATCAGTCACTGCATCTATAACTTCTTTATGTGGATCAATTTGTTCCTCCATTAAGTCATTAGTTTTGTCACCATATTTGAAAGCAACATGGTAACCTCTTTTCAAGGCAAACCAATACCTATAAAATAAACATGAACATTTATCTTCAGTCATATATTTTTATAAATTTAACTGATACATAAAAGGAAAATTATGCATATTTATGGGATATTATGGATGCTTCAATACATGTATACATTGTATAATACTTAAATCAGGTTAAGTACATGTATCTCCTCAAACATTCATACTTTCTTAATGATGAAAAATCCTTTTTTCTAGCTTTCTGAAATATACAATGGATGACCAAAGGGTACAGTAAATATTTAAATTTAAAAATATATTATACTAATATTTACTTGCCTTAAAAATTAACATATATATATATAACATATATGTAATACTAAAATATTGCAATTAACTCTTAAAATATTTCCCCTCAATTCAAACACTCTTATGCTATCATTCTTGCCACTTTCTGAAACATTTCTGGAAGTCTTCCTTCATAGGTACCTTTCTAGGGTATGATCAAAAATATAGTGCTGCCAAGTGGCATTTGCCAAGTGGCATTCAAGAGAAAGGCATGCTTGTAAAAGAAAAATGACAGTGTGTTCTCATTCATCTGATTCACTAGATCTGTCTTCTGGCTCTTCCTCAAAGTCAAAATGGCCATGAAAGGTAAACATTTTGAATGGAGTCAGAATGTTAAGGGAGCCACAACAAGGCAACTAACATATATTAACAGTACATGACAGGGTAATTAGTACAGACAGCAGACTGGAAGAGGAAACAGAAACAGTAGTTAAAGAGTTCAGACTCAGCAGGGCATGATGGTGTACACCTATAGTTCTAGCTAGCTTGGGAGGCTGAGGTGAGAGGATCAGTTGAGACTAGAAGTTTGAGACTAGCCTAGACAACACCATGAGATTCCATCTCAATCTATCAACCAATAAAAGAGTGTACTCTGTAATTATGCCAGAATGCCCGTGTTCAAATCCTGGCTCCATCATTTACCTCCTACCTTAATCTCTCTGTGCTTCAAGTTTCTACATCTGGAAAATAAAGCTAATCATTATACCTGGCCTCACTGGGCCGATGTGATTATTAAATGAGCTAATATATATAAAATTCTTAAACCTGTACTTGTCACGTTAAATGCTATGTGAGTGCCTGTTAAAAATCAGATGGGGGCAGGGACAAGGTGAAAAAATGAGAACCAAGACCTGTCATGTAAATGTACAAGATCCCAATAATGAATGTAATTGTACTGTATACCTAAAATGCACCAATAAACTCAATTTTAAAAAAAACAGATGGGGCTGTTCAGGAATGTGTACATTCACACTTCTGGTAACTTCAGAGATTTTTTTTTACAAATACTGTAGAAATCAATGGCAAATCTTACAAAGTTCTGCTTATCTGAGGCTAATTTCATGAGAAAGAGAGTATGAATATAACTTTTTAACCAACAGAACACTGTTTCAATTTTATGGGACAAATGGTGAATAAACCAGTAGAGAGGGGTAGAGAGTGCTTGCATAGCACAGTTTGTCTCTACATTTGTTTTTGAGACAGAGTCTTGGTATTATATTTCAGGCTGGTATTAAACTCACTATGTACCCACACTGGCCTTGAACTCACAGAAATACTGCTGTTTAAGCCTCCTGGATGCTGGTACTAAAAGCATCTGCCACCATGCCTAGCTATTTCTACCTATTCTTGTATTTGCAATAAAATGGTCTCAGCTTTTGATGAATGATGAATGATGAATCACCTTCTATCAGGCAAACTCTCCTGCTAGTAACAATGATAAATTGTGGACAAAAATTTCTTTACAAACAAAAGCACAGAGGACCACCCAAAAATAAGAAGAAATTTGAGGGCATTTAACCCTTGAAAGAAAGGAACTACACTGCAAGAGACATATGTTTATCTTACTTTTACTCTTAAGGCACTCCACAGTCCAAAGAGCAGAAAACAGACACAGCTCAAGCAGTGAGTCATGATCTTTTGGCCCAACGAGTCAAAAGACTAAGTCTTGGTCTTCCAAAGAGGTTAAAATTTAAAGGAAGATCCCAGAAAAGAGGGAATCACAGAGCAGAAACTCCAGAGCAGATACAGATAAATTAAAAATTGAGGTGGGCTGGGAATTTAGCTCAGAGGCCAGAGATTTAGCTCAGTTGTTCTGCCACCTACTTCGCAAGTACAAGGTCCCAAGTTCAATCCTGGTCAAAAAGAACAAAAAAAAAGGAGCTTAGGAAAATGATGAAAACCATGAATGTCCAACATAGGAAAGCAATAGAATCCATGAAACATTCAAATTGATATCCAGAAGATTAAAATTTCCATTGAAAGTACACACAGCAGAATGAGCCAATGTGAGGACAGAATATCATATACAGAAGACAGGATTGCAGTTAGTGATCACGAAAAGAAAGGTTTCTTAAAAATTAGCAGGGGACAACAAAAAAAATCAATCCAACAAGTGCTAGATAATGCAAAGAAGATTAACATAAGACTGAATGGAGTCAATGAAAAAACAGAAGATAGTGCAAAAGACATTAAAAAAAAAATCTGTCCACTCAGTTAGCAGAAATTTTCCCAAGCATGAAAAAAGAATTTGACATACCAAAAAGTGATACAGAACACCAATTATTCATTATCAAGAAAAAAACTACACCACAGCATATAATAGTCAAGATTTCAGAAATTCAACACAAAAAGAGAATATTAAAAGCAGTTAAAGAAAAGAAAGAAATCACCTATAAAGGAAAGCCAATCAGAATCACAGCAGACTTTTTTAACACAAACCCTCAAGCCAAGGAGAGTTTGGAGTAAAGTATTTCAAGCCCTAAAAGAAAACAACCCCCATCCCCAATTGATGTACGTTGCAAAACTACCTTTCAAAATTGATGAAACAATAAGATATTTCCATGACAAAGAATAAATTCATGACCACCAAACTAGCACTCCAAAATGTTCTGAAGGACATTTTAGAAAGAGATAATGCGAACTATTGACTCCATGAACCCCACCAGAATGAATCTGCCAGGCAAGGCAAGTAATTAAACGGGGGGGGGTATGAAGGAGCCAATAACATGACAAAGATAAGTCAGTACATATCAGTTATAACCATCAATGTAAATGGTCTCAATTTACCAACTAAAAGAAACAGGATGGCAGAATGGATCAAGAAGAAAGATCCAACAATATGCTGCATACAAAAACCACATTTAATTCAAAAAGAAATTCACAGACTGAAAATAAAAGAATGGAAAACAATACTTCATGTGACAGCAAAAAGAAGGGGTAGCTATTCTATTTTCAGACAATGTAGATTTCAAGCCAAGACTGATTGAGAGACAAAGAAGGTCACTATATTCTTGTAAAGAGAACAATCCAAGAGAAAGAGATAACAATCATAAACATATATTCACCAAACACCAGCATACCCAACTATATAAAACAAATATTAATGACGATGAAAAATCAAATAAACACTCATACAGTTGTAACAGGGAACCTCAATATCCCACTGTCATAGATACACAAATCAAGTAGACAAAAAATCAAAGATAAAAAATCAGAACTGAGCCAAAGTTTTGAACAAATAGACTTAGTAGATGTCTACAGAGTTCACCACCCTACAACATCAGAATACACATTCTTCTCAGGTGCACATGGGATGTCTCCAAAATAGACTATGTAACAGCTCATAGAACATGCTTAAGCAAATGCAAAGGAAATGAAATTGTTCCATGCATATCATCAGACCATAGTGCAGTGAAACTGGAAATAATTGGCAAAATAAACCACAAAAACTTCATAAACACATGAAAATTTTAAAACTTGAACAACCAAGGAGTCACAGAGGAAACTAGACAGTTTCTGCAAATACACAACAATGCCAATACAACATACCAGAACTTATGTGACACACTGAAAGCAGTCCTATGAGGGAAATTTATACAGTGAATTCCTATATCAGGAAAACAGAGTGAGCTCCAATAAACAACCAAATGTTGAACTTCAAGCTTCTAGAAAAAGAAGAGCAAGTCCACTCCAAAGCTTGTACAAGACAGGAAATTATAAAGTCAGAGTAGAAATTAATGTGATGGAGACTAAGAAAACAATACAAAGAATCAATGACTCAAAAGAGTTGGTTCTTTGAAAGATTAAATGAAATTGACAAACACTTAGCCAGCCTTATCAAATAAAAAGGAAAGAAAAGACTCAAATCCATGCAATTAGGAATGAAAAGAGTGAAATCACGATGGATCCTACAGAAACCCAGAAGATCATCAATAACTACTTTGATAACCTGTATTCTAATAAGATGTAAAACACAGAAGAAATGGAAAGATTCCTACATATATATAAATCACCAAAGCTGAAGCAAGAAGATATAAAAATTCTAAATGAACAAATATCAGTCGATGAAATTGAAGATGTAATTAAAAACCTGCCAACCAACAAGGAAAGGCCCAGGCCCCTGATGGATTCACTACTGAATTCTACACGAAATTTAGAGAAGACTTAATGCCACTGCTTCTCAAACTCTCTAATGAAATTTAAAGGGAAGAAATACTCCCAAATTTATTCCTGGAAGCAAGCATTACCCTGATACCCAAAGGAGAGAAGGAAAAAGAGAACTACAGGTCAATCTCCCTAATGAAAAGAACTGCAAAAATCCTCAGTAAGATACTGGCAAAAAGAATAAAGCAAATCATCAAGAAAGTTATACACCATGGCCAAGTTAGGTTAATCTCAAGGATGCAAGGACAGTTCAACATACAAAAAGGGCTAAAGGTGTAGGGAAAGTGGGAAGGGTAGGGAAAAGGTAATAAGGGAAAAGAAAAAAATATGACAAAATGAAATAAAGTGTTTGTAAATGGGAAGGGGAGGAGGGGGTGAAGGGAGGGCAGGGACAAGGGGAAAAAAATGAGAACCAAGACCTGTCATGTAAAGGTACACGATCCCAATAATGAATGTAATTGTACTGTATACCTTAAATGTACCAATAAACTCAATAAAAGGAAAAAAAAAGGAATGGCTGTTATCAAGAAATCAACCAGTAAC